TGCGCGGGCCGAAGCTCTCGACGTCGGCGCTGCTCGCAGGGGGCGAGGAGCAGAGAGCACGAGGAGGCTCTGGGCCACATCTTGGGGCCCCAGGTCTGGCGGAGATCGGAGCGTCCCCCCGAACTGCAAACTGATAACGCGTCTCCACCGTGCTGTCAGGCGACCGATAGTTGGGCCAGCCGGCATCTCACATCTCGGGCTTGCCACTCACATGTACGGTGAGGGCATTGGAGGAGGAACCCTTGGACGAGGAATCCAGGGTCTGGGAGCCGGGGGAACTGCACTCGTGGATCGGCCATGGATATCATCGCCGCCCTCATCAGATAAGGAAGCCTCCAGGGTCTGCAGCCTCCCCAGCACATTCCTTAACGAACGCCCCCACCGTGTTTGGGCCAACCGACATATCATAACTATCTCGGGCTTGCCACTCACCTGTAATGAGCTTCCTCCTCAAAATTCCTCTCCTCGCGCGACGATGTGATGTGCTAGACTGCACAAGGCTTTGTGCTGCCGCGGAAAGCACCCCCATGTTGTGCGAAGTTACGCACCGACATGTCGTGACGTGATGTGTTACGAACTGATCTGGAATGGTTACGACATTCCTAACCGCTTACGACGGTGAAGCCGGGGGGTTCCAACATCTGCACGGACGGAGTGCGAATCGCTTTCAGGCTAAGTTCTCGCCTTCGTGCTGCGCGCGTTCGCCTGGAACTCCGAACCATTCAACACATGATTTGTTGAAGGGAAGGTGGGAATGGACATCAATATTCACACGTGGGGCAAACGAGCGGGCAGTTATAAACGCTACACGGCCAACAACTATACCACCGCGCCCACTAAGAGAGGGAGTGGATTCGAGCATCGTAACCTCCCTCTTCCCTTCCTCCCCCTCCCTTCTCCCTCCGGTGCCTTCCTGTGGGGCAGCAGTCCGCCTGACTGCTTCAGCTACGCACCCGACTTCAATCACGATTTCGTCCGGTGTCGGCGGCAGACGCGACATATTTAAATCATGGGCCGTTGGAACTGGGGCAGGCCCACCCCCGCAGTCTTACCCAAGAATACATCCGCCACCGTGCCGTAGTCACTGAATGGAGTGTACTGAGGTCACTTCGAGTTCACTGTGGTGAAGAACGCAAGTGCTCTTGCAAGGGCCCAGACCCCGAACTCACGGGCGCTCCCAGAGGCTTCCCAGAATCCCCGCGTCACTTGTCCAAAAGCTCGGGAGCGTGGCCGCGGGCATCAACATGCTCTCATACCGCCCCAAGCGGCCGTCCTAGGGCGATCTTGGCGGCCTCTTGGGCTGTCCGAAAGGTCCCCACGGCCGACCCAAGTGGCCAAGACAAGTCGGACAATCCTGAGTGATTGTATGATCTGATAACTCAAGACTGCACCCGATGACCCCCAACAGAGGTTCAAGAGGCCCCCAAAACAGCCCCTAGAGGGGCTCAAGAAGGGAACACGAACTGACATTTGGAGCCTTCCACCCCGAGACGAGCCTCCAGACCGCCTCCAGACCCCAAGAGGCACTCCAGAAGCCCGCAGGAGTTCCCAAGGATGCCCCAGGAGACCTTCCAGAGATCCCGAGACATACCAGCAAGACCCCCAAGAGGCCTTCCACGTGAGGCCCGAAAGGCCTGCCAGAGACCTGTAGTCAACGACCCATGCACGGTGGCGACGCGGAACCAGGGCCACTAGATACATTGGGGAGTGGGTGTCTCGGCTTTTCTCATCTACAGTATCTCGATGGAGTAGATGTGGGAGGTCGCAACTTCAGCAACAATGATACAGGTACATCGGGGTCTGAACATGTTGTGGGTCTGGCCTAGGAGCTTCAGTCCGGTCGGTCCCAAGACGCGGGCGCCAGCGAACATCAGCTGGATAAGTAGTTGGGATCCATCATTTCGGGTACTAGGACGGCCCAAACCTGAACGCTACCTCGGCTCGCCCGTATCCGTCGTGCCAATAAAACTGCCTCCGATGCCGACAACAAACTGTTGGGTGTGCGTGTATCCCAGCCGGCCAAGAAGAAGGCTCAGATCAAGGATCTTGAGGAGCAGGTGGCAGCCAAGGAGGAGGAGGGAGGAGGGAGGAGGGAGGAGGAGGAGGAGGAGAAGGAGGAGGAGGAGGAGGAGGAGGAGGAGAAGAAGGAAAGACGGAGGAGGAGGAGAAGAAAGATCATATCGACGATCTTAAGGGCAGGGTACTGCGGGCAAAAACGTTTGCGCAGCGTGTGTCGCGGCGGCGGCCCCAGCGTCCCCAAGGAAGGGAGCGAGGAAGCCGGACAACGGACACATCTACTGAGTTACAGGTGTTTAGTTGCGTACGTCAGAGGAAAAGTGCTGTGGTGATTCTCCCACCCTGGCCCAATCCAGCACAAGCGAATGGCCGGTATGTCGCTGATGGGACTGGTGATTGGTCGTCCAGAAGAGGCTCAAGAAGGATAGCCAGAGGAGGTCAGCTGCCAAAAAGTTTGTGAAACGTGTCGGAAATTGGCGAAAACTCCAAAGTTGGAGGAAGCAAGCTTGCATGGAAGGGCACATACGGTGAAAATGGAAGAGGAGGATAAGCAGGTGGCGTCGCAGTAGCTGAAGTAGCCACCGCCTCAGTAGCATCCAGAATGCCCCCATAACAAAAAACGTCATCAACGGACTTGGGATAACCGCTGCACGGACAGATCCAACTGACACGATGTGTTCAAACCAAAATTTAGACAGCTCGTCCCACGGGTTGAGAAGAGAACCGAACTGATCAACCTGAGCTGGTACAAGTCTTGGTCACTGGCACTATCGGGAAGGCTCAACGGGCGTCTGGAAGACAGGCGATAACGGTTCAGAGTTGTATTGATGCATTGATGATGCCCGTCTCTGAAATTTCGGTGGTACCTAAGAGAACTGCCCGTGGCTCCGTTCGCACGGTATCTTTGTGCGTGCGTTCGATGTACCATGTCTTGTCGATTTGCTTGGCGTAAAAAAAACCTCACGGAACAGATCTTGCGCGAATGCGGCAAACATGCGTTGAGTGCTGGAGTCTGTGTATGGTTGCGGCTGAGATGACATTCCGGGCGCCCTCGAATCAGGTATCGATTTCGCACTCCTGGATGCAAATGTCCTCCTCCTCCTCCTCCTCCTCCTCCTCCCCTCCTCGTCCTCCTCAACCTCCGCCAGCTCCTCCTGCCTCCTCCTCCTCCTCCGCCTTTTGGCGCTGAGCAGACGTGGCGCGCCTCCTTCGCCTCCTCGTCCTCCTGCTGCTCCTCCTCCTGCTGCTACTCCTCCTCCTCCTTCCCCTCCCCTCCCCTCCCCTTCCCTCCACTTCCTTCCCTCCCTCCCCTCCCCTCCCTTCCCTTTCCTGCCCTTCACAATTACCAATCTGAATACTCCTCCCTCTTCCCTGATGACGTCTTTTGCGTATTCGCCCCCCCCCCCCCACCCCACCCCCCCCCCCCGCGTACTGTTTTTTATACACACACACGATTCCCGGATTGGGTTTTCGCCTGCGTTCTTTTCAAAATGCTGCTCTCGTGAGGCGCCGGCCTTCAGTTCTGCTCCCGAATCGTCCGAATCGTGCTCCCACTGACCAGCGGGGTGCATCATTTCGGATCGGGTTTTTGCCTCCGTCGTTCAGGATGGCGTCTCGCACCAGCGCGGGCCTCTTTTCTCGGCGCGCCCTCCGCCCGCCACCACCGCGCCGCACCACGCCCCGCCCCGCCGCACGCACACCCACCGCCACTTCCACCCACCAACGCACGCACGCACGCACGCGCACCACCACCGCGCACCGCCACCACCACCGCACTATCTCACCCACCACCACCACGCTACACCGCGTCACACCACATCACACGCGCGCACACACAGACACGCACACACGCACGCACGCACGCACACACGCACACACGCACACACGCACAGACACAGACACAGACACAGACACAGACACAGACACACAGACACACAGACACACAGACACACAGACACACAGACACACAGAGACACAGAGACACAGAGACACAGAGACACAGAGACACAGAGACACAGAGACACAGAGACACAGAGACACAGAGACACAGAGACACCGAGACACAGAGACACAGAGACACAGAGACACAGAGACACAGAGACACAGAGACACAGAGACACAGAGAGACAGAGACACAGAGACACAGAGACACAGAGACACAGAGACACAGAGACACAGAGACACAGAGACACAGAGACACAGAGACACAGAGACACAGAGACACAGAGACACAGAGACACAGAGACACAGAGACACAGAGACCCAGAGCCACAGAGACACAGAGACACAGAGACACAGAGGACACGACACACAGAGACCAGAGACACACAGAACACAGAGACACAGAGACACAGAGACACAGAGACACAGAGGACACAGAGACACAGAGACACAAGAGACACAGAGACACGAGACACAGAGACACAGAGAACAGAGACACAGAGACACAGAGGGGACACAGAGACCACCACAGACACACAAGACACACAGACACAACACACAGACACAGAAGGACACACACACACCACACACACACACGCCACCACCGCCACCACCACACCACAACCACCAACCACCGCATCACGCACGTACGTCCACCTGGGCCACCACCAAACCCACCAGCGCCACACCACGTCACACCACAGTCACACGCGCGCACACTCACACACAACATTACACACCACCACCACCACCACCACAACCACGCACACATGCACGCACGCACGCACGCGCACCACCACCCACTACGCACGCGCGCGCGAGCCACAGGTCCGCTACGACACGCGTCCGCGGATAGAGAAAATCAGCGCCATGGTAAGGGATGGGAGGGAGGGGTAGGATGTCAGATGTTGACGCGAGCGCACCTAACTTGCCTTCCTCCCCCTCCTTCGCATCCCTCCCTCCCTCCCCGACGGGAGGGGGAGGGCAGCCGCTCGCCCCCAGCCCCCCCCAGCCCCGGCCGTCGGCGGTCGGAGGCTCCTCGCCCTGATAGTACAGGTCCATGGCCTCGCGGGGAGCAGCTGACTGGAGGGAGGGAGGAGGGAGGAGGAGGGAGGAGGAGGAGGAAGGGAGGAAGAGGAGGAGGAGGAGGAAGAGGAGGAGGAGGAAGAGGAGAAGGAGGAAGAGGAGGAGGGGGAGGAAGAGGAGGAGGGGAGAGAGGAGGAGGAGTGAGGAGGAGGAGGAGGAGGGATCCATGATCTGGCTTGGCCAAATATTAAATCATAAAAAAATATAAAAATCAGAAAATTCAAAAAAAATTTCAATAATTAATAAAATAAAAAATTAATCTACCTGCATTTACCTGGATTTACCTCGACCCAAACATTCGATGTCCTGATCTTTCAATGCGGGGTCCCCGGAAGTCCCGACCCTTCCCCTGGGCCAATTTTTCATCCTAAACCGTTTTCTGACGTTTCCGAGGCCCGGCGAGGGCCCCCAGAGACCGAAAATGACACGAACCTCCCGCCCTTCTCTTTTGAACCCGCGAGCATGTCTGGGGACTCGTCCGCATCCACCTCGATCTATTCGGGGGCGCGCAACCATGGATTAGCGATCCATGGATTCGGCGCGCGGTCGCCAAATCAATGGATCGTGGGAGGTGCCCTCCCCAGAATGCGGCCCGTGCCGCCTCGTTCGGCGGCGGAACTCAGCGATCTCTCATGAAAACGGGACCCGCCGCTAATCCACACCACCTTTCATCCATGCTTGCGATCGCCTGCTCTATCTCGCTTGATCCCCACAGGTCGCTTGGCGAGCAGTCGCCAGGCCCTCAGGGACCACCCGAGGACGGCGGCCTTCTGCACGGCGGCGGGCGGAGCCCTGGCGCGGAGCCCCCTCGTCGAGAGGCGCCCCCGCGGCGGCCGTCACGCCCTGGCGGCCTCGTGCCGGCCGCTCGGCAGCGGTGTCGGCAGCGGGGTCCAGCTGAAAGGGGGTGGTGCAAGTTACAGTCGAGGCGTTGACCTAAGGAACCCTAAATAAGGAACGAGGCCCCTGTTTTCCATCAGTTGAATTTCGATTCCGTATCGAAAACCAAGGAAAATCTAAGGCAAGCTGCGAAACAATTAAGGAACACGGAGCCCCTCCCCAACGAAAAGGGTTCCTTCTTCAGGGCCCCGACTGTAGGTTTGGGGTAGCTGTGCTGCAAAGGTATTGCGCCAGAGAGCTGTATATTGCAGGGTCTTGCAGCTGACGCACTGCGCGCGAGAGCCCAGCCGTACATTTTGTGCCCCGGCATGTGCTGCACGCCCCGAATGTGTGGCAACTCCATCGATCTCTTGCACCAAAGCTATTGCACGACCCCCTTGTCGCTGGACCCCCTTTTGGGGTCCACCCGAGTGCTGGCCGGCGGCCGCAGGCGCCCCGCAGATCTGTCGAGCAGCGGCGAAGAGTCCAGGCTCGCCCGTAGGCTCTCCTCGGGAGTCTCGAAGAGCTCTCGGCATGTCCGCAGAGCACTCCTGGCTGAGACTGGTCTGCTTTCACTCGCACGGCGGGTTTCTGCTCAGTTGCTTGCAGAACACGTCTGGGCTCTGAGAGCACAGGCCTGCAGGAATGCCGGAGCGGTCGGTCCCTGCTCAACTCTGGGCGTTCCAACTTTTACCACGGCGGGCGTTGTCGCCGCCCAGGCTCGGGCCCCGGGGCCCTCACAGATCGATCCGGCTCAGGAAGCGGCGCAGAAAGACGGGGTCTAGGCTCTGGTCGTGATCGTTTTGCGGTGTGGCATGCTTTTCGCAGTGTCGGATCACAGGGCTGCCCCGCGGGCTGCCCCCGGCCAGCGGCCCAGTGACGCTGGCATCTGGCGCCCCCACCTCTCCCTTCGGACCAAAATCCTGGAGGCCTTGCGCGGCAGCTTGAAACCCAAACTGCGTCGGATCCACGTCGGAGTTACGTCGGGCTCCCGTCGGATCTACATCGGCTTCCCCTCGAATTCACACCGGGTTCACGTCAGGGCATCGCTGCGCGAATGTCGACCCGTCTCTTACGGAGCAACCGTGTGGACTGGATGATACAACTATTGCGCGCCGCGCGGTGCCTAAGGCCTCTGTTGAAACCAAAAAGTACCCATACCGATACTCCCCAGACCTCTCCCGGGGTGCGCTCTGACCAGGATTTCGAGGCGAATCCAGCGGTGGCGACGAGGGCCGCGCAGGAGGCCCCAAAAGGGGGAAACGAGGGGAGGGTAAAGGTATGGGTACCTTTCCTTCCTCCGAAGCTTTTCCTGATAGCCCCCCGCGCTCAAATGGCCGCCGTGGGCGGTGACAAAAATCGAGGCCGCAGCCGTAAGCGTCGGTGTGGGCGGCAGCGGGGCAGCCGAAGTGGCAGCGGGCGCCCGCTGCGTGGCCGACGGCGGAGCAGCCGCAGGTCGAGGAAGAGGGCGTGGGCGGTGAGGTCGCAAAGGGTATGGTCAGTTCGGGCCTTACAGTCAACCCGGACAGTAAGGATGCGCGATAAGGATGCAAGCGGGTTGACTGTAGCTGCCCCGATACGCAGCACGCACCACGTATCGTACTGACACGGAGCTCAATACGTGGGCTGAAAGCGTAGGTCCGACTCGATACATTCGCCAAGACGTGGTCCGGTACGTGGAGCCGACACGCAACGTATTGACACGGATGGCTTGAGCACGGGACGTGCTGCGTTTCAAAACGCGTGTATCGAGGCAACTAAGGTTCGGGCATGTCCCCGTACAGGCAGATAGTGGGAACATTAAAAATTGTCAAAGCCGAAACGGTCAAACAAGAATCGAAAAAACGTCCCCTATACTGCTCTTTGACTCTGTGTGAATATTCTGCCTGTGGAGGGACATGCCCGACTTGAGGGTATGGGCGGAACTGCGTCCTGGATGAGCCCCAGCGTAGATATGCTGCTGCCTCTGAGGCCGTGCACAGTGGGGGGAGTGCATGCGGCGCTGTGCCCTGGCCGCTGCCGTAAGGCTGGCGCCTTTCGCCGTCGGCGAGTGCTGCGTCGTAGAGGCCGTGAAGCGGCATGCCGGTGATGTGCCCTGCCGTGGATGGCATTGGAAAAGGAACCCCTCGATAAGGAATCCAGGGTCTGGACGCCAGTGGAAAGCCAATCGTGGATTGGCCATGGATATCACCACCGCCCTCATCAGATAAGGAACCCTCCAGGGTCTGAAGCCTCCCGGGCACGTTCCTCAACGAACGCCCCCACCGTATCAGGAGCCAAAGGATTATTCGCGCTTGGGTGCGGATACGAAGCCCGCGCGCCTGAGTTGGCGCGCCACCTGCGCTGGGCCCACTGGTCGGTAGTCCAGCCTTTACGCGAGGCTCCAGAGAAGGGCCCCGCGGAGGTCGTGATTCGATGGGGAGGTGGGGTATCACGGCCGCCGCCATCACGGATGACTTTGCAACCTTGTCGTCGTCGTCGTTGTCGTCAGTGTCGCCATCGTCGTCGTCGCAGTCGTCGTGGTCGCCGTCGCCGTCGCCGTCGCCGTCGCCGTCGCCGTCGTCGTCGTCGCCGTCGTCGTCGTCGTCGTCGTCGCCGTCACAGCCCGTGCCCGTGTCGGTGCGGGAAGCCCCAGAAGCCAGCCCAGCCCGTGCCGCGGGCTGGCCCGTCCTGCGCAGCCCCAAGCAATGCCTGCGGGCCCTCCTCCTCCACCCGTTTTCCGTGGGAGGGGCAGAGGAGGAGGAGGAGGAGGAGGAGGAGGAGGAGGAGGAGGAGGAGGAGAACGGGCCCCCCTTCCTCCACCACTCCGTGGGAAGGACAGGGGAAGTGGGAAGGTGGAGGAAATAGGAGGAAGGCTTTTTTCCCAGCAGAGCAACATACCACCCTCGACCTCAAGGCATGTAAACACACAACAGCGAAGCTGCGCTACAAGACAAAAGAAATGAGACGAGCCCCGTGAATTAGGGCCCGAGGCTAAACATCATGTGCCACACAGGGGGCCAGAGGAGAAGGAGGAGGGGGAGGAGGAGGCAGAGGGAAAATGCTGCGTGGCAGAAACACAATGTGCGTGTATCAACGCTGACGCCAGGGCCAGTGGTACCTCACACAGAAACGGAGCAACGAATAGCAGAGAGAGGAAGAAAAAAGAGAGAGAGAGAGAGGGAGAGGGAGAGAGAGACAAGAGAGAGAGAGAGAAACAAACACATAAACGACAAAGAGAGAGAGAGAGAGAGAGAAAAAAGAGAGAGAGAGAGAGAGAGAGACGGTGAGGACCGAGAAAAAGAGAGAGAGAGAGAGAGAGAGCGCGACAGAGAGAGCGAGGGAGAGGACGCGAATGAAAGACGAACACAGCCAGAGCACCGCAGGAAAGCAAAATACATGATGGTCGACGTCAGACGTCACTGCGCGGCATCTCACCACACACGCGCCCACGCAAGCGGCAAGCAGGCAAGCCCAGCGCCATGGCCGGGCTGGCCGCCGTCGGCCGAACTGGGGCCCACCTGCAGACGATGGACCACAGACCATCAATTCGGAAGAAGCGCCTCAAGAAGGAGGGAGAAAGAGAGGATGGAGGAAGTTGGCGGTGCGAAAGGGAGGAGTGAGGTGCTTGTCGGTGTGCTCTTTGATGATCAGAGGGTGTCTCTGGAAGGCGACAACGCACGCCATTGCTTCCTCAATCCCTATCCCTCCTCCCTCATGCTTTCCCGCCGGATTCCTCCTCCTCCGCCTCCATCTCCCTCCATCCGTCCTAGGTGCCCAGCTCCTCCTATGAAGTCAGGCATTCCCTCATATTTTTCCACCCTCCTCTCCTCTTACTCCTCCTCCTCTCCTCACTTCCTCCTCTCCTCCCTCGTCCCCCTCCTCCTCCTCCTCCTCCTCCTCTCCTCCCTCCATCCTCCTCCTCCTCCCTCCTTTTCTCCTCCTCCCCCCATTCTTCTCTCCTCCTCCTCCCCCCTCCTCCTCCCTTCTCCTCCTATGCCTCCTCCCCCTTCTCTTCCGTCCTCCTCCCTCCTCCTCTTCCTCCTCCTCCCCTTCCCCCTGCCCCACCTCATCAACCATCCCTTCTTTGTCTTCTTCCTGCTTTCCTCCGTTTCGTCTATCGTCCCCCCTCCTCCCTCCATCCCCCCTACTTCCCCCCAATGGCCTCGCGGGAGATCGCCTCTACGGAGCCGTACATCTGGGCCGTTCCGGACGCCGCGCAGTTCTTGACGTACACGGCGCCAGACTCGCCCCTCACGTGCTCACGCAGGCGCGCAGGCAGCAGGACAGCATCGGGGTTCGCCAACCCTTCTCGTGGGGCCACTGGGCGCGTGAAACCGAACTCGGAGACAGGCCTCAAAGGCCTAGGACGCTCTTCAAGATACCAACCGTCGAGATGCCTCTACAAGATATCGTTGAGCGCCCCTCGGGGCGCCAGGAAAGGCTGATGGAAACGGCCGCGTGGTGAAATGTACTTGTCCACGTACCTTTTTCGGCCCGAGATGGGTCCAAGACGGCCCCAAACGAGCCGGGGCACAAGGAGGCCACCCTTGGACCCAAGAGAGAGCCAAGACTAGGAGTTCCCACGAGAAGTCCGAGACTGCTCGAGCTCGCCCGAGAGGTCCTCACGAGTGCCTAAGAGGGACAGAAGAGGGCTGTGCAAATGCCCTCAGAAATCCGAGGTCAGCCCCAAGGGCCCCAACACAGCTGCAAGATAGCCCCTGTCAAATACGTCAAACCGTCCAGCTGGATTCGCGCCAAGCGTTGCGCATCTGTTTTGATGGCCCAGTCGTGCATGCGGTAGCGGGCCTCTTCCTTCACCGCGTCCCAGACGTGCCTCCCCTGGTCCCCTTCTCTCCCCCACCTTTCCCTCCTCCTGCCTCCCACTTTTCTCCCCCTCCTGCCTTCCCTCCCGTCGCACTCACTACCTCTCCTCCCCTTATCATCCTACACATCCTTCTCATCATGAACCTTCCTCTTTTTCCTCCTCGTTTCCATCCACGTCCTCCTCGTCCCCCCCCGTCCCCCACCTCGGACCCGCCTTCCCTCCTTCCCTGGTCCGACCCCCCCCCCTCCACCTCCCCCCCTCCGCCTCCTCCCCTCCCCCTCCCTCTCCCCTTCCCCTCCCCCTCCCCCTCCTCATCCTGCCCCATCCCTTCTCGTCTGCCACCATCGTCCTCCTTCCTCCTCTCATCCTGTCCCCTCACCCCCTCCCGTTCCTGTTGCCCGCCCTCCCCCGCCCCCCCCCCGCATGAAGAGCTCGGCGTTGCCCGCCGTGCCATCCTTGGACGTCCCCACGGGCGCGGGTTGGAACGACACTGTCCTCCCGCCGCCGCCGTCGCCGTCGGCGGAGGGGGGGGGAGGGCGAGGAGGACTGGTGAGGGAAGGGTGGAGAGAAGGGCCACGAGCAGCAGGAGGAGGAGAGGGATGCGGAGGAGAAGGAAAAGGGCAGGATGAGCAGCAGGAACATGAGGGGGGCGGCGGAAAAGAAAGAAGCACCGACGGCGGGGCGCCCCCTTCTCTTCGATGCGCTGCGAGGTTGCAGCAAAAGCCTGAAAGGGGGAGTGGCCAGGCCCCCCCCCCCACCACCATCCCGGCCAATTGCGACGGTGTGAAATGGGTATTGCGCGCCCGCTGCGGGCGCGATGGCCGCGCTCGCGCCGCTTCATGTTGCGGGGCGCGGGGTGGGGCATGCGTAGGTCTGGCGGCCCGGGCTGCGCTGGCGCGCTGCCGAGGGCGGGGCGAGCGCTCGCGCGCGGACGCGCTGGCGCCCGGAACCCGCGTGGACGCCGACTAGGTATGGGGTTCGGCGAAATGGTCAGGGCGACCGGGCCGAGCGTCGCGTCGCTCTGCGGCGCTGCGGCCCGAGTCCACGTGACACCGCTTGGGGCCCCTAACTAGTCGGTCGCGGCGGAACCAGCAGGAGCCCAAGCGCTAGCGCGTCTTCCCGCTGCTGTTGCACCGGCGCAGGTCACTCTTGGAAGCGCGCTGGGCGGTCTCAGCAGTTGGCGCGGGCTTGTCCTTGCTCTTGCCCCATGGGGAGCGGCTGCCGCGCGGCTGGGCGTGGGCGGCGTGGATGGCGGCGGGCGGCGCCGCGGGGGGGGCTTCTCGTCGGCGCCCCCGCGCGAGGCGGACTGGCTGGCCCGACGCGGCTCGTGCGCGAGCCGGCCGCCCAGCTCGTCTGCGTCCGCCGGCATGGAGCTGGGGCGGCGACGTCGAGCATGTCGGCGCGCCAGCTTGCTCTCGCACGATGGCTCTGGAAGAGGCGGAACGCGCGCCGCGCCGCCGCGGGCGGCGCGGGGCGGCGGGGCCGCTTGGAGCGCCTGACGCGCCGGAAGTTCATCAGCTGCTCCGCTGCTAGCGCGGATTAGTTAGCGGACCTTGGCGCGGCCCCTGTGCCAGGAGTGACCGCGTTGCGGGCCTCCGCGAAGAGACTCCGTAAGCGCGGCGCCCGCGGTCTCGGCGATGCCGTTCTCGCCCTTGATTAACTGCGGCGAGGCGACGCCCGCGACCGGCGCAACGTCGCCCAGCTCGCAGACAGGCTGGGGCAGCTCTGCGACCCAGTCGGCGAACGCGGCCGCGACGCTGCCCGGCGGCGGCGGCGGCCGGGGGGCGCGGTCGCAGGTGGGCGCGCAAGAAGCCGCGCAGACACATCGCCGCCTGCCACCGCGCAGGGCACCGCCGCCACGCGGCCAGAACTGCGCCGCGCCGAGAGCCACGGCCGCGAGAGCACCGCGGTCCGACGGACCGCGCCCAGACAGGGCCCCGCCGCTAGGGCCGCGCAGAGAGGCCAGGGCGCGAGCGTAACCGGGCGGCGGCGCAGCCCCTGAGCTACGTAGATAGGGGCGCCGCAGGTTGGCGAAGCAAGGAACGACCGCCCGCGCCGGCCGCGCGAGAGGGGGGGCCCGCGAGAAAGAGGGGGGGCCGCCGCCGTCCGGGACACCGACCCCAGCCGCGCGGTACCGGGCATTGAGCGCTCGCAAGGGGCAAGGAAAATCAGCGCCGCGCTCGGCCCTGCGCGAAATTTGCGCCCGCGCGCGCCGCCAGAGCATAAGACCAGCCGGGCGCCGCGCCGCTCCCTGGCTCGATCGCCGGCGCTCGCGGGCGTAACTCGCGCGCGGCAGGCTGGCCGCGACGTCGGGGTGCCGAAATTTTCGCCACCCGTCGCAATCGGCGCGCCGTTCTGCAACGTTTACCCAAGCTCTTCCGCGACGGGGCGGACGGGGGGGGCGCCCGCGGCCCCCGGCCCCGCAGCGACGGCGCCCGCGCAGTCCTGGATGCCGAATCAGTGGCCCGCCCCGACGGCTCGCGCGGGCACCCCCGAGCGAAGACCTGGGTGTCGATGGGGGCCCCCCTTCCCTACTGGTGCGCTGACGGGGGCGGTGAAGCTGGCGGTCTCGTTGGATCCGCCGCGCGGTTGACATTGCTGCTGGCTCTGCTGGGCCCACATCCTGCCCTCCGGCCGCCGGGAAGGGCGGCGGCGTCGGACAGTCGGCGGGCGGGCCGCCGCGGGGGCCCGCAGGGCCCTCGGACTTTTCTTGATTCCGCGCAGACCCACCCCCGTTCGCGCACGTGGCGACCCCTTATCCCCTGGCCGGGCCCTCCAATTTGATTTAGCAGGCGGGGAAAACATGCTTCGCAGACAACGACGCACGCGCGCCCCGGCGGCTGCTGGCTGCCGGGGCCACTTCGCCTGGGCCATCGCGAAATCGCGCGGTTCAGCACGGGCCAGCGTCTCGACGACGAGGCGCTCCCGGCGCTGGCGCCTGCGCGGCTGCTTTGCGGGCGGGCTGGGCGGCCCGGCGGGGGTCGCTGAGTGGCAGTGCGCGGCGGGCATGCGCGGTCTGGTGGTTTCGGCAACGAAGCGCCCGACCTCCCTCGCGGGGCGCTGCGTCTCGCCTGGTCTCGCCTCGGCTGCGCCTGGAAGCGGCGCTGCAGCGGGGGCCGCGGCGCTGCTTCCACGCCGCGCGCCTGCCCCCGCAGACGGCGCCGCGGAGCGGGCGCGTTTGGGCGCGGCAGCTGCAGGCGGCAGCGCGGCGCTGCGCTGCGCGGCGCCCGCCTCTCGCGGCCCGCTGTCGGCGGCGGGGCGATCGGGGCAACTGCGTTGTCCAGCGGGGGCGCTCCGCAGGGCCGCTCGCCCGCGCGGCGGCCGCCGCGCGCGCGGGGGCGGCCGCCGGGGCGCTGCGGGCGGTCGCGAGCTGCGGCGTCGGCGCGGCGCAAGCGTTTGCTTGCTGGCAGGCGCGGGCGCGGGCCCATTGGCTAGCGGCTCGAGGCTCGCGCGCGATGGGGTCGCGGCGCGCGCGGGCGTCGCTGGCTGGGCGGCGGGGCAGGGCCCCCCCCCGCCGCCGCTTGCTGGCGGGCGCGTCTGGGTTGAACGCCGCTTGCGCGATGTGTTCGAACAGTTGCCGCAGCGGCTGGCGCCGTCCATGCCGTGGCGTTGCAGGCGCGAGCAACTTCGCCGATCCCCCCAGAGCCGCGGTGGCCGAACACCTCGATCTCGCGGTCGGTGAAGACGCCGCTGCTGCCTGCTCGCGCCATGGCGGTGCGCCGCGCAGAGTGCAGGCCGATGCGATTGGCCCATCTCGGCGAGAGGCCTGCCGCCCTGAAGACGCGTCGCATATCTGCCGCCCGCTCGTCGGTTCCGACCGCGCTGGGCGGCGCTGCCGCGGCGAGGCGCCGCGGGGGGCGGGCGGGGCACCCGGCCGCCCCATGGGGCCCAATTGCTCGAGATCCTCGGAATAGCCGCGGGCCCGGCACGAAGGCGGCTGGGGAACGCCGCGCAGGGGGCCGCCCCGCGGGGTGCGCCCCCGCGGGCGCGTCGCTGTGGCCTCTGCGGCTTTCCTTGAGTATTCAGCTCCAAACAAGCAGCCGCTGGTGGCGGCGCTGTCCTGCACCCGGTCGCCGAATCTATCGCGAGCCGCCCCGTGCGGATGGATGGATGGACGCCCTGTCTCAAGGGTTTCGCAGGGTCGTGGCCGCCCGCTCGACCTTGCGGATTTGCTCCGCCGGATAAACTTTGGGCTGCCGCGCGGGCGCCGGGGCCTCTCGCCCGCGGGTCAACGCGAGGCGTTGGGCGCTGACCTCGCCTGCTCGAAGCGGCGGCGAAAGCCCAGCTTCGCGATGGAGAAATCGAGTAACCAAAAATATCCAGCCGTGCTGCGGGCATGGTGGGGGCGGCGCCCGGGCCCAGTAGGGCCATCTCGTACCTCGCGAGGAGTTCGACCGTTGCCTCATGGCCCTGGCAACTGCTGCGGTCGACCCCTGGGCGCTCCTCGCAAGCCCAGGCGAGGAACATTTCCATGCTCGCCACGTGGATCTGGAGCGCGCGGGCCGAGTGGCGCCGCGGGGCAAGCTCCTGGTGCCGTGGCCCGAGGTCATGGCCGAGGAGGGTCGATAGCCTTCATGTGCTGCCTCCGACGGCGTCCAAGACCCAGGCCCACAGCGACAGGACCTGGTGCAGCGCGTGGTTGCGCGTCTCTGCGAAACGGAGCACGAGCGGCCTCAACGGGAGCACCGATCGCCGCTGCTGCCCTGGGCGCCTTGCCCGTCGAGGAGCTGGCGTTGCCTGTCTGGGGTCGTCGTGGCGCGTGGCGCGTCGGGCCGGCAACTCCTTGCTCGCTGGGGGGCTGGCCGCGCCGCGCCCTTGGATCAAGCGGACTGCTCGGGCTGATAAGCCTCCCACTGGTGCAGCGCCCGCGCCGGGCGGTCCGGCGTGGATAGACAGCAGCATGCAGCCTCTGGGCCGAGCCGGGGCGGGAGGGGCCCCGTGCCAGTGGGGCGTTTTGCCGTCCGCGGCCGTGCAGGGGATGAGTGCCGGGTGCTTTCCCAGCGGGTGCTGGCGCGCGGCGTCCCAACCCGCCCGGGCAACGCGCTGCTGCATCGCCTGTGTTGCTCCCGCGTGGCTCGGTGCGCTGGCGGCCTCGCCTATCGAGTTGCAGCCCGGCGCGGTGCGAGGCAAACCCGTGACCGGTTCCAGCCTTCGCCAGCAGGGCGAACAACGAAACAACAATGCCACCCTGTCGAGCGCGGTGGCGTGGCCCGCGCCTTCTGCGGACACAAGAAGAACAAACAATTAAATCGATTGTTCTTGCCGCGGTCGATTGCCAACGAGCTCGATATGTGGGGAAGGGGGCCGCGCGCTCTCTCCAAGGAAACGCTTGAGCTAAAGCGGTGGCCCCCGCAGCCGTCAGCCCCTTGCCCAACCCAGCCCAAAGCCGGAGCAGAAACGAGGGAAAAAAGGACAGGAAGGCTGGAGGAGGAGAAGGAGGAAGAGGAGCATGATAAGCCAGCAGAAGGGGGTGGAGGAGGAGGGGGAGGAGGAGGAGGAGGAGGAGGAGGAGGAGGACGACGAGGAGCAACAACAGCAGCTAGATGAGGAGCCAGAGACGGCACAGTCCTCACGCCACCCACCCCCAACTCCACCTCGTCGGTGCTGAACACCGTGAACTCGTCGCAGCCAAATATTCCCGCATTCTTGCGCAGCTGCTCTTTCATGAGCTCGAACTCGTAGTTGTCCGTCCTGATGACGGAGTAGCAGTACAGCGAGTGCACGGACTCCCCGTCTGGTGTCCCCCAGCGTCGCGGGGTGCAGGGCCTTGGGCACTCCGACTTGTTCTGGCCGTGCACGAAGTCCTGGACCTCCTCGAAGCGCGATCGCAGCGTCAGGCCCTGGAACCAGTCCGGATGGGTCACCAGGCCATCCTTCAGGATCCACATGACCTTGTGCGCCGACCCCCACCCGGGGCCACGGGCGTGAGTGGCGTCCGACCCTCTGTGGCCACACCCTGGGGGAGGGTAGCACCACTGCAGCCCCAGAGGCCTCTCAGATCGGGTCCGAGCAGATGGGGTCGGAGGACCGCGCCGCATCGCCGATGCATCGGCGATGCATCGGCGACGTCGGCGATGCATCGGCGCCGTCGGCGTGGGCAACAATCGAACTGCACATCGAGCCGTATCGCCGCTGCATCGGCGAGGCGGCTCGTTCCTCCGAGCCTACTGCTCGGACCCCACCAGGGAGGCCCAGACACTTCGAGGCGGAGGGCGGGGCCAGAGAGGAGGAGGACCAGGAGGAGGAGGAGGAAGAGGAGGAGGAAGAGGAGGAGGAGGAGAAGGAGGAGGAGGAGGGGGAGGAGGAGGAGGAGGAGGAGGAGGAGGAGGAGGAGGAGGACGAGAACGAGGACGAGGAGGAGGAGACACTACGCTTCATTCTCCCTCGTTTTGTTTCCCGTCCGCCTTGGTGCTGCAAGACGGCGTGGAGACGAGAACGGCCTAAGAAAAAATCGCCAAAGCACGACTCGGCCGACCCCAGGGCCACCCGATCGCATTTATGGGGGTCGGCGCGGGTGGGGTCCAACAAGCGGTTCATCAAACGGCGGGACGCACATCCGTTGCGAATGGAGGAGCACGTGAGCGACGGTCAAAAACTGGTCTTGCGCGAGGTGACGTAGACGCAGCGACCTTGCGCCAGAGGAGCTTCTGCGGGCCGCCAGCGCGGCCCGCTGCACTGGAGACGAAGGCACCCACGCGCGACCTTACGCCGGCAGCTCACGCGCCAGTGTCGGCGCAGACGACCCGTTGTGTTGCGTCGCTCGCGTGGGAGGCCCAGAGTGAGGTCCCCAGGAGGGCCCGAACGGGCGAAATGCGGTTCAAGAAGCAACACGCCTCGAGCGTGCGGCTTGTGGCGCCCAGCGAATGGAGGGCGCTCGCGGGCAGTCCCGCTTCCGACGGCTCGGCGACGAAACAAACGCGCGCCGTGAACAAATCATGACGTCGGATCTCTGGGTGTTAAAAAGTGACTTCTATATTCGAGCCTCGGCGGCTACGGAAGCGCAACGCGTGCATGCATGTGCACGTGCACTCTTGCAGCCAAATCACGCGGGTATGTATCGCAATCGTGCGCTGTGCTGGTACGGCAACGATGCTCCGAACAAGTATGATAAGAAACATTTGTTCGAAGCACGAGCCACGCCAGCGCTAGAATGCGGCCTCCAGGCAAGGCATGCATGGAACTTCTGGGCGAGGGTAGCAAAAGGCGCCCCCTCTCGTGCGCGGCCCCGCCCGCTCGACGCCTTGGCGCGTGAAGCGTGGGCGCCGCACCGGAGCGGGAGCGGCACAGTTACGCGGAAAATCCTCCTCCTCCTCCTCCCTTTCTCGTTCTCGTCCTCCTCGTCCTCCTCCTCCTCCTCCTCCTCCTCCTCCTCTTCCTTCCTCCTCCTCCCTCCTCGTCCTCGTCCTCGTTCTCGTCCTCCTCCTCCTCCTCCTTCTCCTCCCCCTCCTCCTCTTTTTCCTACTTCTCCTCCTCTTCCTCTTCTTCCCCCCCCGCCGCACGCGCGTCCACGCATCGGCGGGCAGAAGACGTGCGCCGCGCCCCAGCGGGAGCTCATGTCTCCGGCAGGTAAGAGCGGCGCCGAAGCGAGAGCAAGGTATCGCCTTTTCGCGCGCGATGTGCGCACCGTTCCGTTTTGGTCACGCACTTTGAAGCGTCCAACACAAAACGCCGTCCATGTGGAAAAGGGGAGGCGTTGACTTCGAAGACGAGGGTGGACGAGAAGGAAGAAAGATAAAAACGGGGACGATGGAACGAGGACGACGAGGACGAGGAGGCAAATGGCGAGGAGGGGAGCGGCAGGGCGGAGAACGAAGACGATGATGAGGACGAGGAGGCGGACAAAAAGGGAAACGAAAACGACAGAGACCAGCAGGAGGAGCAGCAGGAAGGGGGACGACAAGGCGGAGAAAGAACAACCGCGCGTGACACGGGTGGCAGGTTCTGGGCCTCGCATCCAATGTTTCCGACATCTTCTCGACAACCGAATGACTGGACGGAGGGTTCGTCCGGCCGTGTTCCCCCCCGCGAAGCGGCACTTATCGTAGCAGTGTTCGTTTCGCTTGGCGGTGTGGCATGCGCATGGCTTCGGGCACAGGTGATCCTCGTCGGAGCTCTGGCGTAGAAGGCCCTGGACCTCCTCGAAGCTGCTCATCACATGGATCCCCTTGTACCTCAGGAGGGAGTAAGAAGAGAGAGAGAGAGAGAGAGAGAGAGGAAAATGAGGAGGAGAAGGAAGAGGAGGAGGAGGAGGAGGAAGAGGAGGAGGATGATGATGAGGAGGAGGGATAATGGAGAAACGAAGATGAATAGTGGAGAAGCCAGGCGCACCAAGGCGCGGGTTCAGCGAACTGGAAAGCTGCACCTGCGAATTGGGGAGCGCTCGCATCAGCAGCGGGCTCTGCGGCGGCTACAAGTTGGTAGTCGCGCGTCTAGAACATATGGACTGAGGCCGTCGCGACCCGCGAGCGCGCGGGCGAATTGGTCTCGGTCGATATTGGCAAGGTTCTCGCATCCTTTTAACGCGGCAGGCCCGAGCACTGCGCGGCGAGGTGGCGGGGGTCCTCCGTCGCCCATAGCCGACAGGAGTACAGACAGCGCTTCTGCATAACCTGGAGCATATGATATTCGCGCAGCGCGCCCGCCGAGCACGACGGTGCCTTGTAGCGGCACCGCGTGCTCGCTGGCGGTGGGCTCGGGAGGCTCATTGTGGCAGGGCGCACCGCGTGCCCGTCGCCCCGTGCGCCTGCCGGAAGTGGGCCCGCCGCGCGAGCGCCTGAGCTTGCTCGCGTGGAGCTCGAACGCATGTGCGCTAGACTTGAGGGCGCGCCGCAGCTTGGTTCGGTGCGGGCCGCGCGCCTGCGATGGCCTCGCTGCCGCCTGCCGGTCGGCAGCGAGCGTGTCGGCGAGTGCCCGCCGCGCCCCTCTGCGGACGAGGGCGCACTGAGCGTCGCGCATGTCCGTGGTGGGCGCCTCTCCGTTGAGCGCAGCTTCCCAGAATCCGTGGGCGACCGTGCCGGCCCGCGCGTCGGCGCGCGCGTCACGCGCGGAAGTATGATGGGGCCGGTAGCGATGGCAAGGGTGTACTCGCTGTGTCGAACAACCCAGATCACCTCGGGCCTGCTGTTGCCGCGAGAGCGCGTCGCGTTTGCGATGCACTGCCGCTGGCCTTGATTCGCGCCTTCGCTTGGGCGCGGGTGTCGGCTGGGCCCCCGCCCGTCGAGCAGCGGCGAGCAATCTGCGATTTGCGCAGGTCGCTGGGCCAATTCTCGATAACCAGCGCAGAAGCGAGCAGCTCAGCGCGCGTGGCGGCATGACATGGGCCCCCCAGGCTGGAGGCGATGCCTCCCCGCGGGGCTGACTCCCCGAAAATGACTCTTCATTGCGACGCGGGCTAGCGGCGACGGGGCTCGGCGCTGAACTGCCCGCCGAAGCCGTCGCCGAACAGCGCGAGGGCCCCGTCGCTGGCGCCGCGCCCCTCCCAACCCCGCCCAACCCAGCCCCGCCCGCCGCCCCCCCCATACCAGAGAAGACATGGCGCGTGTCCGCGCGCGCAGGCAAGCCGCGGTGCCAGCGCGCATCATGGTCTTTCCTCGCAGCAGGGGCAGCGCGCCCGCGCCTGGCGGCCCGCCTCGACCGCGCGCGCCAGCGGCCACTGCGCCCCTGACGCGACGCAGAGGTCGAGGGCCCACTGGTCGAACTGGCACTTCTTCGTGAACTTCCGCACCTCGCGGCTGATGACGAGGGCGCTGGGGCCTCCTCGCCGGGGCCCTTCTCCACGCGGGTGCTTGGATGCTGCCCCCTACGGCCCCGTCTCGATGGACTGGCGGAACTCGCGGGCGAACTCCGACGGGTCGCCCTCGTGGCGCTTGGCCTCCCAGTCGGCTTGGCCTTTGTTCGGTAGGAGCTCCTTTTGGTCTGCAGGTTCGGCCTCGCGGGGCGCGCGCGGCCGGTCGTGCGCGGGCGGGCAACTCCAGACAGCATCCACAGGCGTGGCCTAGGTCGCGGAGATGGGGCCCAGTACCTTGCGCCGCTTCCTGCCCCCGAGGCGGATGGTTTTCCTGTGGAGCGGCATCCTGGCCTGGATGCCGCGCCGGCGATGGTTTGGAATATTGAACCAGAAATTGAGCCACTCGGCGATGGACTGGCGCTTGAGCTCGATGGTGGGGCGCTTCTGGCCGAGGACCTCGGCGAGGGCGGTAGTTCGACGATTCTGGTGCCCCATCCGCGATGGCGCGCAGGGCTCGGCGCATCTGGCCCGCGCGATGGCGGACGGGGCGAGCCCCGTGATCCCGTCGCCGTGGGGGCCCGGCGGTCTGGGCCCCGTGGTCAAGAGACCCTTCGCGATCTCGGCGAGCGACGCGTGCCTCCTCATCACGGTAATGATGCGGCCTGTGCGCCCCTTCGC